GCAGACGCGTCTCAAAAAAGTGAAAGTCACTGCATCCTGACAGGGTTCCTTCAGATCTGAAAGGGCGAGCAACTAGAGCTTTCCAAGAGCTCGGGAACTTGGAGGCGTATGCGGACGTGTACGGCACCTTTGCACGGATTCGTCATGCAAATCAAATCCATCAATCAGTCAAACGCGGATTTTTGGCCATTTTATGAACCTTTGGGCCGCTTGTTCGAGGCCGCCGTGGCATTTGATGTTTTTGCTGCTTTTGATCCCTCCCTTCAACACCACCATCAAATCCATCGCGGAGTTGTGGCCATTGTACGAATCCTTGGCCGCTTGTCGAGGCAGCCGTCGTGGCGTTTGATGCTTTTGACCCCTCCCCTTCTCCGGCCGAGCTCCGGGGCCTAGGCTACCCAGGAACGCAACCTTGCAGGGCAACTTGCAGAGGCGGCCACGTGAGCACACAGGTCAGAATTCATGAGCCCATAATCAGGAGATTATTGGTTCTGTGGGGGGAAGAGTCCTATGAGCTTATGATCATAAGATAATTGGCTTTGCGTGTGTGAAACAAGGAAGGCTCATGACCTTATGATGGTGAGATCATTGGTTTTGTAGGGTGGATGCAGGCAACACTGAGGGTACAGCAGCATGGACAATCACGACGATTCGAGCATGACCCTCGTCGGATCTCGTCGGTGTTTCCTCGAGAGCAAGACCTGCACGGTGAAACAGAGGCAACCCGGCGTATGCGGGTGCGATGCCAAGCATCGGAAGTCTGCGGCAACCCAAAACCGCAGGCGCGTGCGTCAATAGGACTCCTGCCGGGACGCCCCCTCTTCCTTCTGCTTGACTGCCTCAGCCATCTTCTGGATGCACTTCCGCATGTATTGCGTGGTGGGGATCAACACCTGCTGAGTGGTGACGTCCTTGAGTCAACCCGACACAATACAAACTAACACAACAACGATACATTTAGATATACTGCAGCTTCTCAATGTTCGAGTGGATGTCATGATTTGATAAGTCTTTGCGGCTACCTTGGGTCCTCGAACATCTGCTTCTTGAGACTTCCAAGAGGGCCGAACAACCTGGTTTTTCTCCCAATGACCGCGCCGAAGTTCATCTTGACGATTTCCCTGGCTGCCGACTGGCTCGGCGTCTCAGTCTTGGCATCGCCTCCGTCAATGGGCGACCAACCTTGCGTTGCCATTTTCTCCATGTGCGGACGGGTGAGATTGTCCATCACCAAGTCGTCGAGGCCGAAGTTGTCTCACATGTAGTATGAGTCGAAGTCCACTTCATCACCCAGGCTGAACTCCAGGGTGAGCTTCGAGAGTGCCTGGCTGCACAAGAAGATGTCGCCACCAAAGTTGTCGTAGAACGCCTCGGCAAGGTCCTCTGGCATGCCCCACTTCGTCGTCAGCATCTTGATCATGGCTACCTCCTCAACTTCGGGTGCCACGATGATGTTTAGCGAGTCGTACTTGCCCCTACCCAGCTGCTCAATCCGGTAAGGGAAGGCGTACTCGGAGGCCACCAGGACCACGCAAGCCTCAGGGGGATGCGTGGGACTCAGTACCTTAAGAGCAAGAGAGGGGATAGTTGAAGCCAGATTGTAACAGCCATGCTTTCACACCAACATGCCACGGACACCTTCCTCTGCTGCTTGCTGATAGCCACGAAGAGGGCGAGGGCAGCTTCCGCTGCAGCCTTCTTACCATTCCCGTTGCCACCCTTGCCGTCAGGAAAGGCTATGCTAGCTTCGTCGATGATGATGACGGGAGTCAGGCCATCAGCACTGGCAGCTGCGACGAACTCCTCGACGAACCGGCTGGGTTTCTTTGCACCCATTGTTGCCGCGACTGTTGCGGCAGCTGCTGCAACCACCTTCAAGCCCTGGTCGCTTTCCCTCGCTTCTGCCTTGCTCAGCACCGGAAGGAACTCTCCCATAACAGGCTGAAGCCAGTCAGGCATGGTGTCCTCGGTCCACCTGCTCTTGGCTACCTCCTGCAGGCACTCCAAGACATCCGTGGACCCCATCCGAGGAGGAATCCGCATGTCCACCAAGAGCAATGGATCTTGTTGTTGAAACTTCGCAGTGGACATACGCTCGAGGACTTTGCTTTTCCCGAGGCTCTTGCCTCCAATCACCATGTGGAGCCCTGGCTTGTTCATCACCTGCGACGACAAGAGTCTTAGGGAGCTACGGGCCACTGCATGAGCTATGAAGACAGAGGTGGCGCTGCATTGGGGAACATGGGAACTGCTGCAATCAAGGAGCATGTTTGGGGGGGGTGTAGTTTCAGATCGGACTAGATGGCCTTCTCCAAGAACATCGTGAAATCCTTACGGCCTGCCACTTCCGTACCTCGCTGCCACTCATTGGCACGCTCTTCGATGCTCTCCAAGAACTCGCTCGGTGTCTTCTGCGCTTTCTGTGCAGATTGCCGAACGAGCTCTGGGATGCTGAACGCCTGCAGATGTGAGAGGCCTGCGATGCAGACCACGAACAGCAGCAGAGGCACTGCCCGCTGGAAAGGCCTTGCCCTGTCGATGCCTACCATGCCAAGGGGCTTGCAGTTGCTCGGGGCTCGAAGCGACGGCTACCCCTGAGCCCTGAACCGCAGTGCGGCGCGGCCTGCTTGCCTTGCCCGCCCGTTGTGCATGCCTGCTGCCTAGTGCTGTTGCCTAGCTGCCATGTTGATGCTGCCTGGCTGCTATGCTGCTGCAAGTGCTGCGTCTGAGCGAGAAGGCCGGCGCACGAACATGAACCTGCAACAAGGCACAAGGCGGGAAGGGAAACTCAAGGGTTAAGGAAGCAAGGCAGTTGCAAGGCAGCAGTTCTGACTACCTTAGTTTCCTTAGCGACCAACTTAAGCTCTGAGAAAAGAAGCACGCAGACGCTCTTTTGTCAAGGTGTGCTCGGAATGGTCCGGAGGAGCATAGCATTGCTACGCGGATCTGCTCTAGCCCCCACTGTAGCTCCGAGCACACCGCTGGTCCAACTTGCCCCCTCCGTCGTGCGGCGAAGGAGCGTCCTGGCAA